AGGCCATATTTCATCAGTTCTTGTTAACCATTTCAGTGAAAAATGTGATGATGGTTTTGATATAAAGAAGGTAGATGTGTAAGTCCATCCAGAACTGCCTATGCATTTTGCTTCTCTAAGATCTTAACCTCCTCAAGCTGTTGAAGAGGGAGATAAGAACAACATTCTATAAATGTAGGAAATAAAGATGTGTTTGTTTATACAGAGATTTGGAGAAAAGGCACAGCCTATGAATTCTTTGTGAGGTTACATGTATGGGTGCATGGCTATTAAGGTGTAAGTTCCAATACCACTTTCCTGAAATCTTCCTCAATGGGATGGTTTAGATATACAAGCCAGGTGTTTTCTGGACTCCAAAAACAAATTTCTATGGGAGCATAGTGAAATTCATAATAATATGATGAATCTGATGAAATGCTGTTATTTTCTTAATCTGATTCCAGTCAGAGTTCAAAAACCATTCTCATGGTGGCAGATGCTCTTGCAACTGTTCTCCATCATGCTGTGTGCCTGTGCCTTACTAAATGTTGTCTGTCAAGAAAATGAGGGGCAGAAATGATAATATGACCTATAGTCTTTGGCTAGTCTGAGACCCCAAAAGAAAGTGACCACTCTGCCTTTGAAAGAACCACCAAGACTCAGTATTCTAGAATTGACTGTGATGCTGAATACTTCTGCCAAACAACTACTCTGTAAAATTAGCATAATGAGTTTGAATTTAATGTTCTTTTGAGAGCAACAAAAACAAACCATTCACTACTATTTGTGATTAATTTCAAAAAAGTAAATCACATAACAAAAGAAGATATATGTGAGTAGAATCTAGTAATTACTAGAATCTAGCACAGAGAATAATGAAAGAAACTGTGTTGGATTTTAATTTGAAAGCTGAGAAAAAGAGGCTTGAGCACAAGAGAAGTTTTAGACAAAGTATCATAGCACAATACTAGAAAAGGACTGAAAAAGGACTGTCAGCTCAGAGCACATTTTACATACAGAAATCAGAAATCATAAAATAACAGCTCACAGGGAAAACTTTAATTTTACGTAGGGAGAATGCCACAGAGAATAAGCCAGCTTCTATGTGGCCACTTACACAATGCAATACAAATCAATCCTAAACGTACAGTAAAAGTCTCAATCTGCACTGCATTACCTATCAGATACATGGCACCATAACACTGTATACATAACTGTATGTGGCCATACAGTTTCAGTCTTCAGAAAATTTGAGCTAGGTACTAACAACAGTAGGAAAAGGATGAATTGATTTATTTTTAGTTATGTTCTGAAGAAATGCAGGAAAAAAAAACCAATTATTTTTAATGATTTATGTAGTCAAAATATTGAAATATTATGTCTGACATTCTTAATGTAGTGCTTCAGGAGGCAACCTTTCCCAAGATTTCAATGAAGCAACACAGCTAAAATCAGTCTATAAAGCGTCCAAAATTAGGCAAGATTATTTTGAAAGGATTCCAGGTATCAATAACATAAAAAGAATGTCTGAATTAGAATATATATTAGAATTCCTTCTCTGGCAGCCATCCAGTTCCAATGACATGACATGTCCACGTAAACATGCATACATTCAACACTTTTTCTATAGGGGGGAAAAAAGAAGGCAAACTACAACAGCATAACTCAAGTAGTCAGGCAGACAGGTTTTTCTTTGTGTTTTATTTGAGAAGGGTAACTTTAATATAGATATTGCTGCCTTGCATAGAAAAGGCTTATTGCTGTTCTGTCAAATACTTTTAAAAGTAGGACCTGGAAGCAATCTTTAATGGCTCTTAACCATTGGTTGCTTATCCAGTGGTCTCCCACTGGAGATGCAGTTTTTCCAGCATACAGACCTTCTGGGAGAAGAAAAAATTGACAGCCAACACCACTTTTAAATTGTTACCTGACTTTAACCAAATTAACATGTGGATAGCTCTCTTGTAATGCAGCTCATGTTTGTGGGCAATATATGTTCATCTAAGTACAGAATACAGAAATATAGGAAGTTCTTTGTACACCTGAGAAAGATTGTAATACAAGAAATGTTTCTGGGAGCCAACTCTCCATCTTTAGCAAAAGCATTTAATAAATTCTCTTGTGTCTGGATTGATAAAAGCATCCAGCAGAACAATCCAGCTCAGCTTTTTAAAGAACCCACAAAAAGATCAGCAGAATTGCTAATCAAAATCCTTGGTGATGAGAATGCCATTTGCTTTCCAGTATGCTGCTGAACGTTCAGCTGAGATTTCTTTTTATGTCCTACAATACAGGGGATTAGAGGTCTCTGTCCAATTACGTTACCAGCATTTCCTCTGCTGCGTTGGCTCTTTGGACAGATGAACTCAGTCTCTGTTTTGAATGAAGTGGTCAGCCTTGATCTATTTTAGCTAGTGGTGAGAGATTACACTTGGTGGCCATTTGCCATCTCTGCAGCGAATCTGAGAAGTAGATGGGGGAGGTATTGTCTTGCAAAGAGGGACAGCAAGGGGTGGGAACAGCTACTCGAACTCAAGCTTCAAACTCCCATTGAGGTAGTAGAGTGCTCACTCATTAAAGTCGCATTTAATTTCACTTTACAAGTACAAGGAAGACTGTCAGGTGTAAAGCAAAAGCACATAGCGCACACTCCATATGTTGCAAAAAATTACACAACTCCTCTGGAGAATGACCACTAGGGGTCATTCAGTGAATAAGAAATATTTAAGGCAGTTGCTTTTCACTTCGGTGATCTGCTTTGCATTTCAATTGTTTTGTTCATAATTAAAAACAGTTAAATTTACAAGAAAACTAAGTACTGGATTCCTAAGGATAAATGTCTTTTGAACAATTGTCTATCCCTGTATCTTATACACTAAGTGACTGCTGACATTTTCAGGAGTGTTGCTTACTTGGGCTGGAGCACAGGCATACAGCATGATACCTGAATAGTCAGTCTGTTGTGTACTTCTGTCTTTAGGTAAGTAACAGCCTAAAAACTCTGGTTCTAATTCCAACGTTGAAAAGTTTGAAAGTAATAATCTGTTTGGTAGCTATGCATATTCCAAATTACACTGTCTTTTTAAAAATTTTTGTAGTATATAATTTCACTGTTTTATCAGTCTTCAGTAGATAAAAGGACCACTGTGTTTTTTCCTTAAACATCAGGAGCAAGATGGACAAGATGCGCATAGGGTTTCTCTGGTGAAATGAAACTAAAGATAGGACAATTAAAGATTTTCTCCTCTGTTCCAGTTTAAATATTTCTTAAATAGGTGAAAAAAGTGTGTACGTGTGCAGAAAATGCTTTTTGTATGGGAAAACAAACAAGCGCACAGACAAAAAAACCTTATGACAATCCTGCAAATAAGCTAGACCTGTTTGTAACTCTACACTTAAGACTGAAACAAAGAAGGCAGGAAGACAGGTGGGTGTTTAGGGAAGAAAACTGGGAGAAGGATGAGCAGATTCAGCTCATCAGGTGAGCAAAGGCTAAAAACACAATAGTTCTTACCCAAAAGCCAAGGAAGGAAGAGCTCTTTTGAGCTGTGAAACTGCTAGGAAAGATGAGCTGGGAAACAAAGCAAACATGTACTAACAGCTTGTTTTCTTAGGGAAGAGGGCATACAAAGGACTTTCACTCTCATCAACAAGTCTAGGACATAACGTCCTTAAGAATGTTTTGCCAAGTCGGTTTTGTTTTCCATGTTGAAAGGGATGTTCCTCCCATTAGAAGATGGTTTTCATCTGAAGTAAAAATACTGCACATAGAAATCTGCAGAGTAAATTCTTATGTCTCTGTACTTCAGAGTTGCCTTCCCACCAGTTTTTCATAACTGTTCAATCACTTTCCTGCTTGCTACTCACTGCATACATATATCATTATAATTTTTATAATTAGAATGTAAACAATTTCCTTAATGAGAGAAGAATTTCTTTCAGAAATATTTTAATGTAGTTTCTTCCTCAGCCATTTGATTTATTGCAAATGGAAACTGAGCTATTAGAATGCTTTTCAATAATTTATTACTCACAACATACAAGTCCATCAACTAAGTATAAGTCATTTAGGAGCAAAATCTCCATCCTGAAAAGATTTTTGGGCTGCTAAATAGAGAACTATCTCAATCATACCCACCCATTGAGTAACACCCTGTTTGCCAGTGCAAAAAATGGCACAGCTCAGGAATGCAACTTAATTGATTATTACCCTTGAAATTATTTATTTGAAAGAAAATTTAATAAAAATTGTCTTCATCAGTTTGGGTAAATACATGGACTTTTAAGTTCTAAAGTATTCTAAGTGGAGCTAGCAAGTCCCAGGATAATTCATACTCAAACACTGCAGTTACAGCTTTAAAAGACTGAAAAACACTCTGCACGAAAAAGTTTTATAGCTACAAGTGTTGTACACAAGGACTGTAGTAGATCAGTGAATTGCCACAGAATCACTAAGCTTTGAAAGACAGGTTCACAAGAGTCACTGCTGAAAAAGTGCATAAAAGGCTTCCAGAAGAGTGTGATCTGCTTGTTAGAAAGCAGGACGAGGATCATGGAACGCATGCTAGCAGAGGAAAAAAAAAAAAAAAAAGACATTTACACATTGAATCTCCATTATTTGTTGCTGAATATCAGACCTTTTGATGTAAATTTTGGAGAAAAGCCAGGAACCATTAAAAGCACATAGATGTTAACCACCTTTGAAAAACAGAGCGCTTCAAATAGGTCTGCACAATTAGTGCTTGACTGTAAGGATTTCAGACTTAGCTTTGAGTTTCAATTTTTTGTTCTGTAGCATATGAATATTCATTCTTTTTAGTGTTTTGCGTTGCTTTAATTTCAGGAAAAAGCTTTGAAAAGGAAGACATTTCATCCTAAATATTATTATCATACACATTAAATAAAGTTTTCTAGTGTGATAGCATTTATTAGTATTCAATTACAATGAATGCATTTCAGTGGAGAGCATTCAAGGGCCAAAGCTAACAGATTCAAAACACACTAATTCAGTTCAGAAGGTGTTTAAACCCAGCAATTCAAGTGAAGAGCAAACAAAACTCTTCCATAATGCATATTTTCACAAACTACAGAGTTTTCCTAAGGATTAAAAACAAATATTTGCCAGATGTGCAAGCTTGAAGCAGCTTTAACTGGAGGTCTTCATTCAAGACATCTCTGAGGAGCTTAGAATTCATATTTTCCCAGTGTAACTGCCTGCATTACTAACCAGCGTTATGGCAGAACCACTGCAGGCTGTTTTGGTGTTACGTCATACTGAGATTTGGTCACTTCCTGCAGACCTGCCACTGATTAAAGGTGCCAGCAGCAACTATTGGTTAGTTAACTGACAGCTAACTACATTCCCAAGTAGTCTCACCTCCCTGGTTTGTACCATTCCAAGGTCTCACCTCCCTGCTTGACCTTACTGCAGCTGTGAGCAGAGCAATAGAGAACAGCCTGTGAAGCATTTGCACCCAGATCTCTCACCATAACTTAAGTTGGAACAGATGATTAGTGCGTGTAATCAAATCAAAAGGAGCTGAAGGTTTTAGCCCCTTTTAAGAGGCTTTCAGCCCAGTAGCTAAGGATCAATCTCTTAATGCTAGAGTAAGCATTTATTTTCTTTTGCTCCCTTCAATGTTCAAGATACTCTGTTATGCTGACAGACACACAAGTAAAACTGAAACTGGAGAACTACTGGCAGTTTAGAGCTTCTTGCAGACACAGTTTTGATCAGACTCATTTACCTAGTTACCTGCATTCCTCTCCATCTCCTCAGATGTTCTCTCTTAGAACTAGAACCAAGGTAGAAACTGGGAGGGAGCATTTTATAAAGGTCTCTGAAAAGTAGACCTTAGAATTCTTCACAGTTTTGCAATCTCATTGGAATAACCTTTTGAATCAGTAGAGGTTCCTAACCACAGAGCTAAACAAGATCACAAGGGTGAGACCTGGAAAAAGGTCTAGGAATTGTTGTTACTGTCTGAAATAGACTTGCAGTATCTTGGGCAAGCTATGCAGGCCAGATAGGATTGCATCCAGAGTCTGACATTTTGTTCAGAGGCAGCAGATATTTCCAGGCTGGTACGTGTCTGTTCTGCAAAGCTTCAATTTTGGCAGAAGAAATTCTGAAGAGCACAGCCCTGTGAACAATGCATTGGAAACCTTCAGAACAGCGCATACTGAGGTGGGAAAAGAATAGAAAGAGTTCCTTTCATTGCCATGCAAAGAAGGGAGAGACAGGGAAGGAGGCAAAGAAACAGATAGAAGGTGTATATCTGGTTAGAAAGTTCTCCTGAAACAGACTGCAAAATACCTCAGTAAGAACGAATCATTACTCCATAAGTACTGCAAGCATTTGTTGTTCTTATTATTTCTTTGTCATAATACTTTCCTGCCACTTTTTATCCTATCAGACCCTCTCTCTAATGTCACATAGTTAGAGATGTGCTACAGAATTATTCACTGGCTACAGTCAGAATGGGACTGTCCTCCTCATGAATATTCAGGCAGCAACTACAGTGAAATGTCTTCATGTTCATCTTTTGCTCTTTCTACCACTCAGAACTTCAAAAGTGGAACAATTTCAGTTCCTTGCCTTCAGTTTAGTTTACCAAAGCATTATTTACAGACTTGCAAAAACAAACAACTTACACAGAATGCAACAACTTACTTCCATATCAAGAAGAAAATATTAAATACCAAATGCTTAAGCCTGGAAATTTCTATTTCAGTTTCACTGTTCACCTAGATCAACGGGCATATATACATCCTGCTTCTCTCCAAGTTATGAAATAAGAATCTCAGCTTTTCTTAATAGAAATTCCAATCAAGTAATCTAGATGACTGCTAAACACGGTTATGAATAAACAGTATTTACATAGAACACATTTGTACTCATGAAGCAGATATGTAAAGTTTGTCTGATTATGAGCTGTGTTTATCCTGGACTTCAAACTTTGATTCTAAGGCATGGGCCATTTCTTTACCTGCTTTTTGAAGCAGAGTTCCAGGGGAAGTTGGCACAGGATCACAGCATTTTGACTATAATCTTTTGGACGAGGAGATGCCTGTATGACAACATATCCTTTCTAGTCTGCAATGGGAGAAAAAGACAGTTTAAACCACATATCACTTGGTTAAGAAGATAAAGAGGAAGAAAAAACTTACGATGGAGAGGCAAAGAGATTGAAAAGTAGAAAGAATAGATCTCCTTGGGCATTTTGTCCAAAAGCAGGTAGATCAAGTGCAGGAAGAAGTCCTTCATGCTGAGCAAATACAATTTTAGATAAAGAGAAATGCACATCGCGCTTGGATATTGTTTTCCTACCAATAAATTTGGTACACTGTAAGTACTGACAGATGATATTTTAGGGTTTTTGGGCAGCTTCCTAAGACTTTGCTTCTACATCTATGCATGCCCTGAAAACTAAAACACTCTCCATGTGAATCAAACTCCTCTTGGAAGTTGTTTAAACAAAGAACTCTGAAGCGTCAACAATAGGCATAGGTGTCAGTTTGTTGAACTGCATGTTCGGTTTCAAAAGGGAGCATTAGTTTGCACCTCACAGTACAAATACAAGCACCTGCAGTCTCTTTATACTACAGAATCTTAACATATATCAAGCTCAGTGGACTGCGTGCAAACAGCACAATCTGGTAAGAGTCCAAGGAGCAGGCTGACCTGGTTTCAGCATTTACTCATTTATTACACTGTGTTTCATTTGGTCATGAATGATGTGATTGCATTTTGTTTGGTATCTCTAAATCCTTATAAAGGTTGTATTTGTGCGTGGCTCTAAAATCCACACTCAGTGTTTAAAATATATTCACATGTTAATTTACAAATGACTCAAGTAAGTTTCAGCAGAATGCTCAGTAGTTACTAGGAAAATTTTAGGAGATTATTATGATAAATATTTTTTCATATTTACAGTATTACTCAGACTTGGATTGAAATGATTAAAAAAAGAACCATGCAAGACGAAAGAACACTTCAACAGTATGCCTTTGTTCACAAGAAAATTGGGTTGCAGAATCATCTTTCAAGATGCTATGATAGAATGAAAAACAGAGGTCACAGTAACTTGAAAAAAAAAAAAAAAGACCATTTGGATAGGAAGGACAAAGAAGCATAACGGAAGAAGTTAAAGTAGAAAACAAAGAAAGCTTTGAATTTGTAGAGTGAGGCACTTCTAGCAAACTCATCACTGAATTCATAGTCAGTTATCCTTTTGTACAAAGTCTCCCATTTCAATTTTCTGCTAGTCTGAAAATTGAAACAGACGATCAAGATAAAATTACTTGAATTATAGTTATTTGTGTACAGTTTCCTCTTCTTTCTCAACTAAAATTGTTCTTCCCAGGTAAATTTTAGAGAAAAGTATCAGCATCCCATAAACATCATTTGTAACATTTCCAGTGTTATCATATTCACTGATAAATTAGGGTAATTAATAAACTTCATGGTTGTTTTGCATGGGAAAAAATTGTTACACTTCATTTAGCTTAACACATCTAAACACAAGCTATGTACTCATCCCACAGTGTGTCAACATAGTGCTACCTAAATTCAACCTAATAAATCAGAGGGGTAGCAGCAAGAGGCTTTAGTTGGTTAAGTTCTAAGGCAAGATACTCTGACCTCAATAATTTGTCTAAATAACTATATTGACTACACAGAAGTAAGGTACCTTTAAATTCCCTCTGTAGTAGCTGGTCAATGGAACAGATGGAAGAGCACAGTCTTGTTACTGCAACAAGGTTGTTTACTGCCAAAGGACTACTTTACCCATCTTTCAATCAACCAGGTTTTTTGGAGGGTAGTGGGATAATGCTGTCATTTAGCTCTTTGTACAAAAAGAAACCTGCAATGATCACAAGGAGGGTCGTGACAGGAAATACAGCTATTTCTTGTTTATAATAGGTACAATCTCATAAATCTCTAGTTAACCCAAAATACAGTCCAGACAGAGATGGAATAAGTTCCTTCTAACTGAACTATTTTAACAAACTGCTTGTTAAGTTTTTGTTGTTGTTGTTTTTGTTTTTTTAAGAGCATCATTACTGTTTTGTCAAAATGCTTTGGTTTAGGAATAGTATTTTCATAGCAACCCATTAAACTTAATTTCAGCTCACGTTGCTTTTAGTCCATAGTTCAGTAAAGTTGTTACATGACTTAAACCAGAACATGTTTTCAAAGCTGCATTCGAACAGCCGGCTACCTGCTGTGGGGGTAGCTCCATGTGATCCTGAGCCTTTGTGTCTAGTACCTTTGTTCTTGTTCAATTGACCCGGATCGTAAAATTACTTCATTTCTTGCTGCCATTCACATTCACCTTGCCTCGTGTGCCTGGAACAGTCTCCATTCTCTTGCATCCCTTACATTTGTCTATACTTGCAGTTTTACAGCAGAGCTAATAGTGACCTGCCCTCAGTGTGTGAAGAGAGAATTTAGCTACAAAAGTGCTTGTTTCAGAGTGCATTTTCAGCACCTAGTTGTTCTCTACAGATTTTGTTTTGGTATTACAGAGCTGAAAATGAATAAGGAGGGTTTTGTGGAACCTGTCATTATAGCACTCCATGAAAACTGTACTAGATGAAAGCCTAAAGCAACTACTGTGGGAAACCACATCAAGATCCAGCTTGTGTGTACTTACACAGCAGCCTATTAAAATTTATTCTGATCTGATATATGACAACGTCCTCCATAATCTTCCTGTGTAATCTAAAATAGTAAAAGTACAGTTGAATGCATCTTTTTTAGCCCAGAGAACACATTTCATACATTTCTTGGAAAAATTCCCAGAAGGGTAGTTAGGAAGGGATGGGCTAACCTGATAAAAAAAAAAAAAAAAAAAAAAAAAAACCAGAGGAAGAGAAAGCCAAGATAAGCAACTTACACACTTGCCTTTAAAAAAAAAAAAACTTTTTAGGTGTGTAGGAGAGGTATAGATACAGTTGAACATATGCATTCAACAAAACTATAAAACCAGTCATTTCTTTCCTACACATGTCATGAGAGGGCTCAAGGCACAATGTTCACTGCCAGTTCTTTCATACAGAACAATTTGTTTGACACATAGAACACAAACTTCTTGCAGACTTTCCCACTTTTCCCTGAACCTCAAACAATGCAAGCTTTTCATATTATTTACTCAGAAAAGCGTAGCTGAGATCCAGCATGCAGTTTTCCACCTTTCCATAAGATTCACAGCTCAGAGAACAAAATGAGCAGCCATCTTGTTCTGAAATGACACAGCAATATATCTTCTGACTGAAGGAAAACATGGGAGCATCCATCTCTGTGCACACACTTCTGCATACATGGTACTTCTTAGTCTCTATATAATTTGGTAGGTTTGGATAATTTCTTTCACTCCTCAGTTCAGCCTCACCCTTTCCATCTAAGACCACAGTTATCAAACCATTAGCTTGAAAGGCTCTCTTTTAGGATTAACAGTTATAGCCACCCTTGTGATACATCAAGACAGTCTTCCCCTCGGAATCTGTAATCTTTCGCTTCATTTGAAGCCCCTGATTCACTGTGGTTTAAAAAAAAAATTAGAAGGAAAATGCATTCTTTGGCACTAAGGAAACCCACAAGCTTCTGGCCTTTGTGATTAATCTATCTGATGCCCAGGAAAACAGATGCCTTCCTTCACCTTAATAGGCATGTCCCTGAAATAGCAGGCATGGTAAACATTGACCACCTCTTTACATTTCAGGACATTAACAAAAAAAATCTCATCCAAGAGACATTGTTTTCAAAAATGTAGAACAAATCACTGTATCTCTTTGAATATTATTGTTTAAAAAAGGCATCCGTTTTCTTTTCAGGTGCTCTGGCTTCAAGAGAAACAGCTCTGATCTGTGGTCAAGGCTTTGTAGTATCCATGGCAGAGTAAGACAAACAATGATGGGAGAGCCAGAGCCTAGCGGGAAATACCAAGGCCTTCTATATTTCCAGGTGAATGGTGAAACTTCACACTCATGCCTTACAGAAACTTTAACTTGATGTTCCTTCTTTAGTAAGCAGAAATCAGATTTCACCGGAATCATTACTGGGAATGCTAAATGGCTTCATTTATAGATGCCACTGAAAGGGAAAATCCAGTTCCTTTCTCAATGAGCAGGAGTCCAGATTCCTTCTTGAAATTTTTGCAGTTCTCTTTGATGATCCCTTTCTACAGCACTGGACAAATGGTAAAATTATTTCACCCTGGAATTGTATTTTTAAAATAAATTTCAGATGAATATTGTGAGGATCTAATGTACAAGTTTTAATATTTCACAAAATAATAGAAATGCAGGATACCTTAAAAATTTCAGTTCTCCAGTGCTCTACCTAATTGGAAAAAATCAGTTTCAAATATTTGCTGCACAGCAGACATTTGTACCATTCCTTACGGAAATACCTTGATCTTTGTATTTGCTTGTGCTTTCTGCAAATTCTGACAACAACCTATAGCCTGATGGCCAGTAAAATACTGTGCAGTTGATGCATCTTTTCTGTTCTGTTTTGAAGTAAACTCTGATAAAAAAAAACCACCATAAGCTAATGAGGAAATGCATTTGAGAAAGTCAGAATAATATAAAAAAATGAAAAAAACAAGCGGCATCTTTTAAGAATGTAGAATACAACACTGATACATATGACCAAGCTGATTAGTAACTGTTATGGTAAATCATAGTGACTTCTAATAACAAAGAGAAACAGGCATTTCTGTTCTAATGTTCTGATTAACTCAAACAAGACAGTTTTGGCAAGCCGCCTTCTTTTATTCCCTAGTTTAGATACAGCCCCTGCAGATTTACTGACCATTAGGCCGGCAGCCAAATGCTTTCCATTTATGTGCTTATTATCACTCATGGAGGGTAACCTTTCTACCATAACTGATTTTAAAAGAACATTTAAGTTCCTTTCAAAAAAGGAGTAATTTGCTTTAAATGCAGTATAGGATTTTCAAAGTTATCCTTAAACCATTTATGCCTTCACCACTGGTAGAAAGTCTACCTTTAACCAAATTTGAAATGACTGTTTTTTAAAAATAAAGTATGTGGCTTCTCCAGCTTTTCTAATTTACTTTGAAAATTTTTCACTTTAGTAGTAACTAATTTAATAAAAATAATGTGAATCCCTTGGATCCTAGAGAACACACATGCTGCTTTGAGAAATATGGAGAAGCACTGCCTGGCTTAACTTAATGTGTAGTTGTTTATTCAGGTAGCTCAGTCCTGCTTCAATAGCACAGTACTCCTTCCTGAGCACATTTTTTTAATACATATATTTTACCTCTGTTACTGTGCCTTAAATAGTGACCTGAAAAGCAGGGGACTGGTTAATAAAGCAAACAAGGCAAGTACTGTGTCATATTACTCAAGATCAACAAATGAAATATGGGTAGAGAAAGTTACCTAGTAAACTACAAGCCTATTAAACTTTAGTAGTATGCCAGGTTTTAAAACACCCAACATAAGAATTACCAATACATCAACTTAAATGTAAATTTGAAAAGAAGTGAAGGGTAAAGAAGTCTTCTATGGGAAGAAGACTGTACGAGATCTACCTGGATGCCTTTTTCAGATAAATGCAAAACAACCCCTTCTTTTTTTCCTAGTTTAAAATAAAAGCAGTAAGCCTAATTTTGATGGACATCATGAAACCTTTTGATACACAAGTCTTTCAAAACTTAGCTGAAAATAAGAAAGATCACCATGTAAGAGAAAATAAGAATTTAGGGCTAAGGAATGAACTGGAATCAGATCAAAATCACAGAAAAACGTAGATTTCTTGGTGTTGGACAGACTGTACTATCTTCATTGCCAGGGCAAAAATAAAAAGATTCAACATGTTACACTGAAACGGGAAGTGTATGCTTGGAGCAAAGTTACCAGCTGAATTTTCTAGGATTAGTTTGTAGACTAAAAATAGTGGATAGTATCATAGCTAATTTTGGCACACTGTAAGTGTGCTTATGACATTTTCTGATGACAGAGTTTGGAGGCAGTGCCAAAGCAGAAAACGCCTAGAACATCATAAAGGTCATTGAACTTCAGTTACAGAAAGTGGGTGAGTTTAAAAGTACAAAGTCCAAAGTCGTCCCCCTTTCAAATTACTAACAGGAATTTTCTACTACCTGCTAAAGGTTTATGATTTAGAAAAGAGGCTTAGGTAAATAAAAAAAATAATAAATCAGTATTTTCATCTGTTGGAGCAAAATCACATCCCCTCAGGCAGAACTACCTATGAAAAAATGTTTCCCTATGGAAACATTGCAATCCATGCAAGCATTCAATCCATTATGTAAGATTTTGATATGGCCTTTTCTGGAATAATGCCAAATGGACAACAATCCTGATGAAAGAGATTTAAAGGATTTATATTATATAGTTTGTAATCTTTTTATTATTTATCCACTTGAAATGTGAGGAAATGTGTATTATCACTCTCTGAATATACTGGAGATGAAGAAAGGGGGAAAAAGAATACCACCAGAAGGAAAGAATTTAAGAACAACTCAGTTTCAGCATAAGATCACCTGCATATATTGTAATTTCCATGATACATTTTTATGACAAATATTTCCATATGTCTGGGAAAAAAAAAAACTACTTCAGCAGCTTCATTATAAGGGTATGGAGTAGAGGAAAAAAAAGACCAAAAAAAAAAAAACCCTTCAAAATTATTTTAAGATGAAAGTTTTATAAATTTACAAGTGGGGTTAGATTACCTGTTAAGTTACAGGAAGAAGCTGGACTCCATAGTCCACAAAAGTTTCTCTGATCCTACGTTCTTTCTAGAAAAAGAAAAGCAGGTAAAAAGGCAACAAGCTTTCTGTCCAAATATAAAGAAAAAATTTAAATGATATGCAGCTGTGATCTGATCACCAGGACCAAGTTTAGCTGGCAATAAACTGGGCTCTCTTACTTGAAATTTTGGAATACTTTACTATTCTGTTTCTTTCACAGCATACCCAGCTGCTCTTATAACTACTTCTGGGACATTTCCAATGCAGTTATGGGAGGTCGATCCGTGTCCTATCTGAGCAGTTCTACTTTCGTTTCCATTACAGCAAATAAGGAATTGTTTTCACTATATAACAATTCAGAGCCAGAACCTCTTCTGGTAAAGCTCTTGTATACCACCTATGAAAACAATTTGCTCCCCAGGGATAGCACCTCAACAGAAACTGCTTTCAAGTTTTAGTGAGTTTTTGGCAGAATGGAAAGGAGTTCTTGAATTTTACGTACCTATGACACAGATACATCCAGAGAAGGAATAGTCAGTACAGCAGAGATGAGGACTTACTTGAACACGTGCAGAGGAAAGCCACAAAAATGGCCCAAGGGTTAGAACACCTCCCTGTGAGGACAGACTAGGTGAGAGAGCTAGGGCTGTGCAGCCTGGTGAAAAAAAGGCTCTGGGGAGACCTGAGAGAGCCTTTCAGTATCTCAAGTGGGGATGTAAGGAGAAAGGGGACAGACTCTTTATCAGGGTCTGCTGTAACACAACAAGGGGAAATGGTTTCACACTAAAAGAGGGGAGATTTAGCTAGGACATAGAGAAGACTACATTTACATAAAGGGCATAGGTGCACCAGCACAGGTTGCCCAGAAAGGCAGTGAATGCCCCATCCCTGGAGACAGCCAAGGTCAGGCTGGAGGGGCTCTGACCACCTGACAGAGCTGTAGGTGTCCCTGTTCAGTGCAGGGAGTTGGAACAGATGGCCTTCAGGGGTCCCTTCCAACGCAAACAATTCTAGATTCCATGACAGCTTTCTACAGCTGCACAAACCCAGAGGTTCTGTTTGTCCTAAAGCTCAGCTGGTTTTGCCAACACAAGCAATTGGTCTAATAAAAACCCTTTCTCATTAAAGCCTTGCCTTAAGCATCTTGTAAGCAACAGGGGAAAGCCAAAACTTAAAAGCTCTTCTTTGACCACATTGTTTATGATGGAAACAGTTTATAAAAGTCTAAATAACATAACTGATGGACAGCTCTATCACTCCCAGTCTTGGGCTCTGGGTTTTGGTGCCCTTGTTCAGTAACAACTGACTTCTACAGTTGCACTGCCCTCAAGGCAGCCAGTAACTGTGCTCATTCCCCTGGAAGGTCCATGGAGCAGCTCCCTCACATCACCTTTCCTCCCATCTACACAGCACAGGCAAGCCTGGGCTGTGCTGAAATCATGTGGATCAGTGCCAGCATACAGCCCGCTGCTGCAGCTCTGACCTGGCAGCTCTTGCCTTCAGGGGCTCCAGGCTATTGCTGCGCATCTTGGGGTGCCTGCCACTCAAGCCTTCCATTCTGGGACAGACACGTTTTGTCACAGGGCCTTGGCATTGGGGCTTGATGCTCCCACAGACAGAGCAACTATCAAGGAGGCCATTTCAGTGGTGCTGTTGGCTCTGCTGGGTCAGGAAACACAAAAGGCAGTGGGCATCATGGGGCCTCACAGAGGGAAGACCTCAGAGCTCCCAAGAGGCCCCTTGGTCCTACAAAAATGAACAAGTTTATCCACAACTCCCTGATGCAAATTCTGCAGCTTCTGCTTTTCCAGAGACATTTAGCACTAGGTCAGAGCTTGTAAACTCTTCGGGTGGTCTCCTAAGGCAGCCAAGCACATGGGCTATGCTTTTATTTTAAGGAGAAATGGGAAAACCATTTGATTACAAAGGATGCTCAAGCAGGCCTCTTTAATTTTGATTTCTTCCCGCTTTAAGCTATAAATATAGCTGAAGATTACAAAGGGTTCTTAAGTAAATACCAAAAGACAACATTTACAGTTTTCCACAGAGCTACACCCTAACCAATAATACAAGGGAATCTGTCCAAAACTTTGAAGTGTTATTATAGTTTGCAACATGGCAAAACACTGGAGTTTCTATGTATTTATTTAGCCAGCCACCACTCCCTCAGCAAGTTTCTACATCTGTTTATTTGCTACATCAGAATACACAAAGTTAAGAGTTGTAGTATTTTCCAGATATTTGTATCACAAACTCACATTCGCAATGTCTCTTTAGCTTTTACTTACATGATAAAAATAAGACCTGCTTTTAATCTATTTTGAGAGGGAAAGGAAGCCTTTGATATGATAAATCTATTTTGTCCTTAGTTGTTTTCTTCCCACTGCATGTTTTTCCCATGGTTCCAGCAAGAAATTTTTCCAAAAAATATTTTCTGCATTGGATCCTATTAAATAAACAAAAGAAAACAGAAGATGATAGATTAGTATTGTTGTTTGTGACCATTTGGTAGCACATAGAAAGCATCAATTGGTACAAATGATGTAGTTTAACCAAACAATATAATAAAGCAATTACAATTAGGGTAATTTATTTTAATTGTCCGTCACTTGGATTACAGTAACTCATGTGCCTTCCAAAATCAGATTCAGTAACTGAATTATTTCAGAAGACCAAGTATTATGGTTTGTTTTGTTTTATTGTTCATTGATTTTGATTTGTTGTTTATTGGTTTTGATTTGTTTATTTGTTTAAGTTAAGAATTTGTCAGGTTGTACTGCTTATGTTACATTTTGATCTTTTTCCAAAATGACTTTCACCTGCAGTAATGTTCTGTAATAAACTCTGTAACATTCATACACCAAGCAAAATTGCACCCTCCCTTCTGGTAGATGTACTGCATTGCAATTTCACTTAAAAGCATTGTCAGTATATTTAGCACGAGCTCTCTTCTTGTATAGTTTAATGTACTAAAGTTTATGGAAACACCTTAACAGACCTCAATATCTCAGTCAGGTGCAGACTAAAAAGTCAGAATATTTATTTCTCAGAAACAAATGGTGAGATTTCCAGGGGCAGTGAAGTTGATATTTACCATGTATTGCAGTTTCTCTTTGCTACAATTATAAGGAAGCCATTAAGTTTATGCAAGAAAGCCCAAACATAATCCACTAAAGTCATGTGCAATGTGGTTTCTAAGGCTTTTTATGAAAACTTGAAAGAAAACATTTGGGTAAAACACTGAATTGCAATGTTAGGTTCCTGGAATGAGAACAACAATATTTTGCTATTAAATGAAAGTATTTTAATCACATTAGAAACCACAGAGTTTGTGATGCCTGCTCAAACCCCTGTTTCTACAGAAATGCATTAACAATACATTCCAAGTACTTTTATCAGATGGGTGCTACATATTTGACAGGATTCTTAGCACATGGAATTCTACAGTACTATGTAGTAGTTCCCAATGTTATTAAAAGCTACATTGCTTCATTTTGAACTGTTCTGACAGATCCTCAGTAAAATATATGCACACAAAAGTTAATCAGAATCTGAGTGCTATATGGATGGCTGTGCAGCAGCATAGACAGGTGTTTGCTGTATGCATCCCCAAGGCAGCAAGTTACTGAAAAAGTTAAAAATGCTTTTTATGGACATGCAACAAACATTTTTGAAACTCAATATTTATAGGCAAGCCAAACTGAAATACTGTGTTTCTGCAATAGAAAGTTGCAGTTTGCAAAAAGCACACAATTTATTTCTTCTGTAATTTTAGACAAGTACAGAGCAATGCTAAACCAGTTAAAATCACAAAGCCAACAACAATTATTATAGCAATTTACTGGGACTACCCAAGGACATAAGTGCAGGTATTTGGAATGTTCTGCAGCACTTACTACACCCATAAATGTTCTCACTCTAAAATGTTCTCTACTCTAAGGTTCAGAGGTAGAGAGAGTAATAATTTTCCAGTAATTTTTCTTAGCCAACACAATGTGTTAGGTGTAACACTAACTTGATAGATTTACAGCATGTTGCTAAAACAAAATATCAGTTCATTGCCTAGAATTATTGAAGAATATTTGAACTGCAGCCACAGAAGTGAAAAGAAGAAAGCACTTTATAAAATAGAAAGAAAAACTTCAGAAAAAAAGAAAAAGAAACTTCTTATTTCATATTAGATATAACACACAGACTGGCCAGATAAGTGATAGATTCTCCTTCTCTAAAAATATTTAAGTATTATCTGGATGCCCACACGAGACCCACTATAGAAAACTTATTTACCAGGGGAGTGAACTGAACAAACTCAACAAAGCTCTTCCAAACACTACAATTCTGTGACTCTTCACAATACAACGGAATGCAACACCAATGTAGTAGCAAAGTTCTAAGCTGCAGTAAGTGAAGACTTACTCAAACACAAGAGCCATACACACAGACTACAAGAACAAAAATACTCACACTCAAAAGACTGCAACTATGCAGGAAACTCCCCACAAAACACCCTTCCCTCCACCACCGACCCTTAAATGAGGTCTGGGAAGGGGTGGATCCTGGCTATACCCCTTCTGGTCACTCAGGTACAATGCATGCACCTGAGCAGCCCTGAGTTGGCCCCACCTTCCCACCAGGTGCTCAATCACTGGTTCAAGCCCTAATTTATCATTTCCACTACGTCTTTGAATGTCTCTAATAGATATTTAAAGAATATGGCTTTCTAAACATTTACTTTGTATAATAATCTTGTGAGTATAAATACTGTTTGAAAGCTTATTGATACGGTCATCTGTGTGGGAGCTACTGAATCATGGCCTGAACCTCTGATTGATCACCTGAGACAAGCAATGAGTCAGCCAGGTGAAGCACATTGCTGACACAACGAGTCAGCAATGAGCACAGGTGAAGGCAATTCAGCTGTGTGACCAGAAGGGGTGGAGCCTGGCTGCACCTCTCCTAGGCCCCATTTAAGGGCTGACTTTGACTGAGGAAGCTTTCCTCTCTGGAGATTGCTCCTTTGGGAGTTTTTTCTGTAGGCCCAGAATGTGGGTAAGCTTTTCCATTCTTTTCCAATTAGTCCTTTCTAGTGTGATAGTCTAGTTATATGCCCTTTAAAGATCTGCCTAACTTCTCTGTATGGTTGTCAATTATATATCATCATTCTCAACTAATATGTTATGGGAGGTATATATGCAAAAACTGCTCAATTTTAAGAACAGTTAAAAGTTAAAAGAATTGCTTTTACTGGTTTTTCTGAAAGCATTACTGATGGTAATCCTGATCAGAAACCTTTTTTCAGTACTGATGATTTTGTGAGTTCTATGGATTAGGTGGAAGAAAATCAATTAAATTTGGAATGAGAATTTGTTTATTGCTGTCTGCTAACTTCAAGGTCAGATTATTTTAACTTTAAGTTTTAGCTCACTGTTTCTTTCAGGGTGCAGAAAATAATCTACTAAATTGTTCTTTAGAGAATCCAGTTCTATGTAATAAAGTTTGCTCAACTTTGTTTAATTTTAGCAGATTATGTATCACAATTAAGATGGCTGTCTAGTTTGTGTCTTTGACTGTAAGGAGAAAGTAAATGATTTATCAAAGTTGCTTTTTGTGGATTTTCTTATTTTCTCTTTTTAAACTGGCTAAAGAAAGTTACATGATACACAGTAAATTTTGATGTTTTAAAACTTAAGTCAGTAAAAATGGATTTCATCTTGTATCTTTGTATGCATCTCTTAACCAGTCTGGGGCATAACTGTAAAAGTAACTTAATCTTTAAGAGTTATCTTCTTGAATGTGTTTTTGTATCTTGATTTTTTATAATAAGCAATAACAAATATATGTAAATATGTAGAGGACATTGTACTGAAGAGACAAGTCAAGGGAAAGCTGCAATAGGATATTTAAATCAAATTATAAACTATTGTTATTTGAATAATGTTGATCTATTTTTATGATAAAAATGGAGTGATTTAAATACAAAGCAAGATAGATGGATGGGGGCAACTGAGAAACAGTGGGTTTTGTATTGTATTTTGTAAGACATAATTTACTGGTCTCCCCTTTTATGTGTCTTTCTGGACACACTTCACTGAAATAGAGGGTGAATAAATATATCTAGGTTTAGTGCAGGATGGTACACATTTCAGCAAACTGAAAATTAATCTAAATCAAACTCCATTTTTAAGAATGTAGAGAGTTTACCCATTCAATAGCACATCTTTACTTGTAGTAACGTGATCTGTAATGTGTTAAATGTAGGAAAGGCAATTCTAGAGCAGGAGCAATTCTTAACAAAGTTTAAAAAAAAAAAACTAAATCCAAATAGGTTTTACTTATAGATGCTAAGTTCCAATACTAAGAGAACTAAGTTCAAAGCATGGGTCAAAATCTTGGAATGCCTTGAGTATTCCCTGAGGAGTTAATGTTGATGAGGCATCTCGAGAAACAGTTTGAAATCCAGCTGTTTTTTTATGGCTTAGCATGTAATGCCTCCACAGTCATCATAGAGTAACAGTGTGTTACATGTAAGGTGTGATATATGTAGCCTACTATTTCAATAATTTGTTATGGTATGCAAACAAAAAAAAATGGTAAGTCAATGGCAGCTCAAGCCATAGATGTTGTAGATTTGAGAAGTTATTTCTCTGTTGTTTTAAATAGAAACGAGAGCTGCATTCAAATGAACTAGCTCAGCTACTGAAAGTAGTGTAGCTATGGCAGCATGCAGTTCAGTGTCAGCTGTAAGATGTGCCTGTGAAAGTAAGTAAATATTTGGACAACTTGTTGGCAGAGTTCTAGTGCTGCAACAGTACCCAGCCAGCACACGTGGCACTCAGAAAGAGCTCGGCCTGAGAGTGTTGCTATACCTGTCAGCTGCTCAGTGCTGTGGAGCGGGCCCAGATGCTCTCATGAACTGGCAAAAAAAGGAAATGAAAATCTCTGTTCTGCTTATGAGTGTGTGTGTGGTAATCTCTTAATCAAAAGTGTAAGACTTAACAGTTGCTTCTGCCCAGCTTTGAACCATCAGTACTTTTCTCTTCCATATACTCTGGTATAATCATTATCATCATCCAAACAGTATTACTGCTTCCTCTGTATACATGTTTTCTATAAATAAAGTGTTTATGTATTCATCTAATTATTCAGATGATCACTTTACAAACTTCTTTTTGTTTCAGTACTACTACACTGAGGAGCCCAAGAAGAGGGGCTTTGCCAGGAGTGCTTCAAAATGTTCACAGATGGCCAGATGCCATTCCTCTAGAAAACTGCAAACCTGGATCACTTCACAAAGTTGCTTTGTAATGCAGCCTCAGCTCAGGGCAACATACATGTGACCAGTGTGTGCTAGTTTGAAACATCTAGGGATGGTCATTTAATATCTACATGGGTTTGCTTCCTGCCTTGGAAAAGTGTAAGCAGGCTAATGCTTTGAGG